CACCCCTTTAGTACCGGTTCGTGGCACGAACCGGTACTAAATGTTCAACACGAACCGGCATTAATGCATAGTCATTCGAACCGGTACTAATGGTACCATTAGTGCCGGCTCAAATTCAAACCGGCACTAATGTGCTTCACGTTTGACCCTTTTTCTACTAGTGGTAGACAATGTATTAAGATCTCTACTCCTAAAGAAGCACAGTACGCACGTCGTTCGTTCGTTCGTTCGTTCGATAGCTCCTTCAACCTCTTCGCCCCACCAATTTTTCTCTCCCTCTTAAAAACCACACAACAGAAAAAACCGGTAAAAAAGGAAAGAGGAAAAACCAGCCAACTAAACAGTAAAACTAGTTTTTCATAAAAAATCCTACTAAAACGTGTTTTGTTAAAACTAGGCGTTAATTTTGTTTATCAAAACAACCACTAAAAGTTTTCCTAGAGTTAGGGGGGGGGCAATGGCCCCATGAAGCTCCGCCACTATTCCTATGTCCACTAGGTACAGTGTCTTGATTATTATTTTTGAGGGGGGAAATGTCTTGATTATTTAACTAATCAGCTTGAGCCTTCCATGCTTATAAACAGTATGCAAAGCGTGTAGTATTATGTCATGTAAGGATACAATTGTTGGTTCGAAGTATTAAGTCTAATGGGTAGTTTAAAGATTTTTAGTTGCTCTTTTTTTAGTGATTAGTGAAGGTCTTCAACAGAGCATATTTTTGGAATTTGGGTGTAGGCCCACCTGATTAAGCAAAAAAATGTATTTAAAAAAAGAACTGTGATATTTGGCACATGTGTGCCATATAAGCAAAACTGCCACACATCTACTTCTTTCACTTTAAAGTACCACATGATCTTCTTTTCTTCGACCCCGCCTTCTCCCGAACGACTCTGCAGACTCGCACGAGAAACTTGCATCTCCCGCACATCTCGCCCGCCCAACTGCCACTTCTTCACGTCTACTACATGATAAAAAAAAGATTGCGCATGTGGGATTCGAAACCACTCCTCCTTGGCACGCCACCACAACCAACTCACCCTGAGAAAACTGCCACTTCTTTGTTGGGGAATGTAGCAGAATTTTAAAATTTTCTACGCATCACCAAGATCAATCTATGGAGTCATCTAGCAACGAGGGAGAGAGGAGTGCATCTACATACCCTTGTAGATCGCGAGCGGAAGCGTTCAAGTGAACGGGGATGATGGAGTCATACTCGCCGTGATCCAAATCACCGATGACCAAGTGCCGAACGGACAGCACCTCCGCGTTCAACACACGTACTATTGGGAAGACGTCTCCTCCTTCTTGATTCAGCAAGGGGGAAGGAGAGGTTGATGAAGATCCACCAGCACGACGATGTGGTGGTGGATGCAGCAGGATCCCGGCAGGGCTTCGCCAAGCACAAGCGGGGAGGAGAGGTGTTACGAAGGGAGAGGGAGGCGCCAAGAGTAAGGTGCGGCTGCCCTCCATCCCTTCCACTATATATAGGGGCTAGGGGGGCGCATGCCCCCTTGGAGATCCCATCTAAAAGGGGGGGCGGCGGCCCCTGGGGGCAACGGCCCCCTTAGGGTTTCCAACCAGGGGGCGCATGCCCCCTCGGGGGGCAACGGCCCCCTAGGGTTTTCAACCCTAGGCGCCTTGGGCCCTTGGGTGGGGCGCACCATCCCATCAGTGGTTCCCACGCCACTTCAGCCCGTGGGGCCCTCCGGGATAGGTGGCCACATCCGATGGACCCCCGGGACCCTTCCGGTGGTCCCGGTACAATACCGGTAACCCCCGAAACCTTCCCGCTGGCCGAAACTGGACTTCCTATATATAAATCTTTACCTCCAGACCATTTCGGAACTCCTCGTGACGTCCAGGATCTCATCCGGGACTCCTAACA